AGCTTTCATAAAGCCAACACCTGCACCGGGATGCAAAGCAGCTCATCCCATAACGGACCCCATTGATTTATTTAATTGGAGGATTGGAGGCTCTCGATTTGCAGGCAGGGGAGAGCCAAGCTCCCACGGTGCCAAGCAGGAGCCGAGGGTACGGGGACATCTCGGCAGAGCAGAGGGGACGTGCCCCGAGGGAAATAAAGAGCATCTCCAGAACTCACCACAGGCACCGTCACAGGCTGCTTTGCCATCCCCCCGTAGGTAACCATGGTTCCTTTGGGCCTGAGAGAGGAAGGGAATATTTGGTTACACGGTCCCCAACGCAGCTTTGACCGTGCAACTTGTCCCTCTGCCCTCCCCAACCCCACGGGGGCACCGGGGGGGCTGTGCTCACACCAAGGGCTCCCCCAGCCACCCCTCAGAATCCGCTTTCCAGAGCTCCCCTCTCGCTCCCGTGCACCATGAGCTGAATTTGCAGCTAAACACACCAGTTATTCCTGGCCAAGACCTGAGGGATTTTCATAACTGGACTTCAGGTGCCTCCAGCCACCAGCAGCATTTGAGAAGTGCAGCGATGGCGAGTTAACTTCAAGTCACTGTTACCCTCCAAACGCACTTCTCCTCTTTCCAAAACTTCCACGATGACCAACATCTCCGGCCACCACTTGCTCTCCGGGGGGAGCGGGTTTGACCAAGAACGCCTGGTGCCAGCTGCTGTCCCCAGGCCACCACCCAGCCAAACTTACTGCAGATGCCGCAGCATCTCCGTGGTGCTTTTGCCTCCGACGCAGTTCAGGGCGAGCCGGGGCTTCGGGATGCTCTGCAAGGGTTTAACAAGAAGATTCCTAAATTTTAAGGCTCCTTTCGAGGATGGGACCATGGTTCTTAAGGGAGCAACTGCCTTAACCTTAACATTTACCGGGAGGCAGCTAAGAATTGTAGAGCTAAAATCTATGATCTTGCAGTAACAAAAAAAAAAAAACAACAAACCAAAACCAGAAAAGTCCTCAACTTCTGGGGCTAAATCTTCATCTAGAGAGAGATTTGTCCTTCCCACCATCCCTGCACCCTTCCCCGCAGCACAGAACTGCAGGGACACCTCTGGGTGATCTCTCCAGTGGGATCAGCATTGAGGTACCTTAAATATATCTTTCATTTCTGGCTTTCTCAGCGTCTCCTCTGTGACAACGTGGTCTGCGCCCAGGGCCATCAGCCTCTCCACCAGCTTTGGGAGATCAGGTCTAGAGGAGTATTAAAAAAAAAATAAAAAAGACTCGATGAGCCAGAAAAACAGTGTCACCTTGTCCCCCCTCCTGCTCAGACACAGCTTGGGGACAACAGGGCAGAGGCTGGAGGACACCCTGGAGGGGCAAATACTGGATTGCACGGGATGACCAGCTTCAGCTCCCAAGCTTGCTGAAACCTCCTGCCAACCCCCAGCCCAGGCTGAGAGCAGCTCCTGCCCCTCGGGAGACTTCCCCCTCACCCAGGGGACCCACCTGTCCCTCACCACATTGATGGTCTTGATGCCGGAGGCTTTGGCGATCTGGATGACAGCCTGGCCCACGGCGCTGTTGGCAGCGTTCTGGATGACGGAGTCGCCTGGATAGAAATAAATCCAGATTTTCTTTGCCAAAGCGACCGGCAAATACCCCTCCCTTTCCCTTCCCGGATTTCTTTCCACCCGGCCAAGCCGTACCGGGCGCCAGGGTCTCGAAGTCGGTCAGCATGCGGAAAGCCGTGCAGGGGTTGACGCTCAGGGTGGCTGTGCACAGCACTGGGATGTCGCTGGGCACCTTCAGCAGCATCTTCTCGGGGAACACCCCCCTCGTCCGCCACGTCCCTGGGATACCGGTGGCAGGAAGGGGGACAAGGGAAAGGAAAATGTTAGGAGACTCCAACCCATGCCACAGCCTTAACGCCGGTCGTGGCAGCATCGCTGTGCCATGTGTCGTCTAAATCCCAGAGAGCGGGTGATGAAATGTTTTCCCGTATGGCTAAAATATCGCGAGAGGCTGGGGATGGATCCCCTGCCTCCCACTGAGATTTATCACCATCGAAATCTAATCATTTCCCAGAGGGATAACGAGGCCAGGACTCCTTGGGCACAGGGAGCGTGCAGAGATAATGGAAATACTCCCCATCTTACGGGTGAGCCCATATATTCAATGCCAATTTACTTAGATTGAGTCCCTCTGTATTTATATCCAATTTAAGCCCCCATCATCCATTCACTTTTTAAAAAATGTTTAAAAAGATCACATTTGGATCTTAACTTGATAGCTTTCCTTCTCCCATTAAGTGAAAAAGCCTTTTAAGAAGAAACAGGCAAAGAACAAGCTGTTACACTAAACCAGACCTGACAATTTTTCTGGCCATTGGCATCTTGGAGGAGCACAAGAGACATTTATTGGAAAATAAATTCCCATGCATTCCCATCAGAGCACTGCTAAGGAGAAAACTGTAACGAGATATAACCATGACCTTGCACAGGTTAAATGCTTTATCCCGGGTCTTTAAAGATGCTCTAAGTAGCTGTGACAAACCGCGGTTGTTTCCACAGAAGCAGATATTGCTGTGACGCTTTATAACGGCTCAGAAGCCCCATAAAAGGTCCACGCTATAGAAAAGTAGATTATTTCTAAATTAAAGTTTAGAGTAAGCAACGGCATCACTACTGCTTCTATTGCAAGTGCTCCAGGCTTTCGTGGTATGTGACAGGAGCCCCTTCCCTGGGTCCCCCCATCCTTCTCCAGAGCCCCCCGGGCACGAACATCACTCGCTGCGGCTGAGGATCAGGTCCTGAACTTGCTTTAAAAAAAAAAATTAAAAAATACAAGGCGGAAATAATAAAACTTAAACCAAGATATGAACAAGTGGGAAACGAAGATGCCTTGGTGCATGTCCAGCATTTATCTCGATGCTTCTCGTCTGAGACAATCCAGGCCATTACACTTAGGATGAGGCTAATACAGCGCTAAACAGGTTCCAAGTGCTGCTTTCCTCGCCCGACGTTCTCTAATGGAGCTTTTTTCCCCCCCATTCTAAGCCACATCCGATCAGATGTAACTGCTGCACGCAGGAGGGGCACATGGCTCTCCCCACACCCAGGAAAAAGGAGGTTTTGCTCCGGTACCTCCGAAATCCCCGCACCACGCCTGGAGCATCAGTTTGCACCAGAGCATGACCACGGGGTTGCTCTCCGTGGAGGCTTGGGCAGCTCCTGGAGGGCTCCACCATCCTCAAAACCTCTAAGAAGAAACTCTACGGGTCAGGGGGGTGCAGAGGAGGACCCTGCTGGTGAGCAAGGGTGCAGGGGTGCCGTGGCTCCGCACTCACCGAGTCCCGTGTCTGCCGGGATGACCCAGTCCCCAGGTTTCAGAGCCGCCACGTGACGCCCGACCTCCAGCACTTCCCCAACGCCTTCGTTCCCTCCCACGGCCGGCAGCGGGGAGAGGATGGCGTAGGTCCCTGCCGGGAAGCCGGAGATAAGCTGGAGATCTTGTCATACCCAAACCTCCCCATCCCAGGAGCCACCTCCAAACCCTCCGAGATGTCCCGCTGGGGGCATCGTGCAAGAATTAACACGCAAAAAAGACCCACACGGTGCGTTACCTTGGATCATATTGATGTCAGCGGGATTTATTGGAGCTGCCAACATCTTGACGTGGACATCGGAGTCCCCCAGCTTGGCCACCTCAAGGTCTTTTAGTCTGAACAGGGAGACACAAAGGAAAAATGCATTAATCCAGGCTTGGCTGATGTCTTCTGCACCTTGGTTTAGGCTGGGAGGGATCCCTGTACCACCTACACACACGTTAGACTTAAAATAAGCAGCACTGGGTTCCCCACCTCATCTATATTGCTACAGCCTGGGCTCCTCCAGTGGAGAAACCCCAATATTCAATTCGGACAATCCCACTGGGATTCCTCTGTCCCCAGGGAGTGGCAGGTAGTGATGTCCACATCCACCCCAACCCTCCCTCTGCATCGTGCAAATCCCCTCGTCCATCACTCCAGCCGCCCTGTCCCTGCACAGGGGGGCTGTTGTGAGCACTTTCCTCTCCTAATTCGCAATTAGGATGATGAAGGAGACTCCCAGGAGGTCCCCAAAACCTCATTTGGAGAGTCTGGGAACAGCGAGGTGCAGGATACAGCCCTGCAGCTGCTGAGCACGACCGAGAGTCCTGATTTTGGTGGATTTTGCTCAAAACCATGCGTTCCTGGCAAGGTCACGAAATACGAAGCCCGGTGCATATTGAACATCCAGGCAGGACTGAGCAAACCACGGGATGAAATCAGCTCCCGCCTCAAAGCAACCTGCAAGGCTTCCGCAGGAGAGCACAGCGACTGCACCCTGCTTAAGGTTTTAAAAAATAAAAATTAAATGAAAACCATCATTACAAGACACAGGAACTGATCTGGAGGCTTCGCTGCCTCCCGCTCCCTGGCCCCCCGCAATGCCATCTCCATGCTACATGTACTTTTCTGCTTTGTTAGGCAGCAAATTAAATATTTTTGGGCTTTGCCACCTTCTGCATATCCACCTGATGGAAATCCCTTCCTTTTTCTTGAATAAGGTTAAATTTTGAGGTTAAAGTTAATACCACGCAGCACCCCCGCAGAGCATCAGCCCTATGCCAGCACGCTGGGCATGAACCCACCGCTCAGATTTCGATTCCATTACAAAAAGAAAAAACACATTTGTATTAGACAGACAGGCAGATTTTTGAGGGAGGCTGCTAAAAGCCAACCACCCAACAAAATCTTGCGTCACCAGGCAAAGTAGCGGTCACAGATCTTAACAAATTCAGGGGATTGCGCAAAAAAAAAAAGCCCCTGTTGCCGCTGGGTGGGGGGTTTACGGCTCATCCAGCCTCGCTTTTACAGGAATTCGGATATTTTCAGAAATCTGCAAAAAAAGTGAAGTCACGAGACCCAAGCTGGCTTTGCACACGCAGCAAACCTGAGGAGCCACTGGTGGTGATATGCACTTTTGCACAATTAAATGGTCAGAAGGTAAAGCAACTGTTTCCCCCTAAAAAGCCCGGGGGTTCACATCTAGGTGCACCCTGGTAATGGGTTGGCACCTCCTGAACTTCTAGGGGTGGCCTGAGCCAGTTCAAGCAGGGCAGCAGGTCCTTGAGGCCTCCTCACGCAAAAAAAAAGGAAAAAAAAAAGCCATAAAATCCACCCCAATGACTTGCAAGGCTTTTGGGCTGTTTTAGAAGGAAAATCCCCCCCTGCTGCCATTGAGTGCCAGCCGTCATCCCCGAAAAATGTCGATGGGTGCGAACCCATCTTGGTTTCTGAATGGGGACCGCAGGGAGGAACCCCCTTAACGCGACCCAACACGGGATGAAGTTGGGGTGCAGCGATGCTGGGGAGCTCAGACCTCCCATCATACCGCAAATTAAGCGAGAATGGGCTTCCTGGAAAGAATATGTGAATTGAAGGGAAACTGAAGGTGTAAGACCATGGAAAAGGGGGCACCTCCAGGGACCCCCGTGTGCTCAGGGGGCTCCGAGCACCTCTGGCACTGCCATGGGGTGCTGCAGGGAGCTGTACCCCATCTCCATCC